CTTTATTATTTATTTTGTCACTGTAAATATACATTATATATTGTATTTATTGCTGTTGTCCTATATGTCTTTCTATATTTAATTTCGTTGTACAGTATCATGCAATGACAAACAGGTTATAAGGACTAGACTATTCTATTCTGGACTAGACTATTCTATTCTATTCTATTCTATTCTATTCTATTCTATTCTATTCTATTCTAAAGGTTAGCCCAGGCTTGGGCTGAAATTACAATGGAAATGTACAAATGTAAAGTAGAGCTGAGTGTTTTCACAAATGCAAGGACATTTTGTTATGTAGATGAGTAAAGGAATTACTGTAAACTACCAACCATTTGAATGGACAATGGTCAAACAATGGTCAGCTAAATTCAAACACTTTCCCTCTCTGGAGCTGCTGTCTGCAGTCATTGGACAGGAGATGGAGAACCACCTGACCAGGTTTCCATCCAGTCCCAGGAAACCCACCAATGCAGGGGGAGAACATGGATGCTCTACACAACAAGGCCCCCACTGAGTTATATTATATTCTTGCAGTGTGATGACACACCACCATGCAGCCCTGCTATATCATGACAATCCACTCAATGACAAGATCGTTGGTATTGTTTTAGTTTAATTGCTTGCATTTCAAGGCATAGCACTCTCAGGACACCGTAAAGATTGTTTTTATACTTCTTCTAAAATTCGTATAAAAAACAAAAACAGGATTTATGTTGAGATGAAATCTATTCATGTACGTGTGAAACCTTTGGAAATGTGAAAAGCGTATGTTAAAGAATTTTGTGGGTGCATTTCTTTAATAAGAAAAAAATCAAACAGTTTAAGACTGTTATTCAGAGGACAGTTCAGTGATAGTGTCCACAGAACCTCTTTAGAACAGAAAGAGTTAAGGTCCATCTGTACAGACCTCAGGGTCGCTGACCTTGTCAGAATGTGTCTGATGTGACGTCATCTTGATAACAAGTGGAGAGACTTTGCCTTTGATTGTTGGCAATTTGTTCTTGTTATACTTTTGCTAAGCTCGATGCAAAATCCAGTAAAATAAGAGTAAATCTAACAAGAGTTTAGAAGAAACGTTTCTAAATGAACAGGAAAGACCAGTTAAGACCTCTTTTGGATGTGAGACGTTACTGACTCTTCAAAAACGAACAGAAACTTTGCATTTTTCAATTGCATTTATTTCAAGTTCCATGCAGAATTAGAAACATTTTAGTTCTTGAATCATCAATAAATAAGCAATATCATGCCTGTTACAAATATAAATGTTTGTCCATTAAAACTGATAGTTGAATGACAGTTTTCTCATTTTTAATTGCTCCAGTTGTCTTTTTGGTTACACTTCTGGTTGACTGGTGGTCTTCTCTGGACACAGCTCCTTGGTGGGATCCATCACAACAGGTGGAGGCATATTCAGACACGCCACCTGAGCTGTGAACTCCTCCATCTCCTGCTGCTCCAGCTGCCTCCTCCTGCTGAACAGGTACAGGTGTTGCCTCCCCACTGACCCCACGATCATACGCATCAGCAGGCAGTCACTGCAGGACGTGTGGACCAGACCTGAAGTCAGGTTGCTCCTATCCGTCCCGTCAAAGGTGAAGCTTCTGCCTTCCAGGGTGATGTTGTAGGTGGTGTACTGGCACTCGTTGTTCAAACGGATGCCCCGGGTGTAGGAGATGTTGGAGTCGGTGGTGTTTTTGGAGAAGGTCACAGATGCGCTGTCTCTTTGCTTAAAGCGTTCCAGATGGGGTGGGTGGCTCAGGCTGCCAGCTGCCAAAGCCCAAGTGCCCTCCAAGCGCTGGAGGTCCGGATGAGCTAAAGGATGGAGCAGCTTTTCACAGGGCATAGGAGAGGAATAGATCACAGACACCAAACAGGCCAGAGCGAAGGCACCTGCAGCAAAAACCATCATGTGTTGTTTCCTGGCACGACTGGAATACGAATCAGTAATACTGTGGTTTCCAACAGTCAGTGAAGCAGCCACACAGACCTGGATGTTTTATAGCCGTTTCTGACTTGTTGGCTTTCACAATCCAGTACATTCTGTGCTGTGGATTTTGGGATTGCGAAATAATTAAATGTTTTTGGAAACTGTAGAGGTCACCTCGAGCGAGAAAACATGATTTTCTGCCTCTACAGCAGGCCTCAGATGGGCCTGGAAAGAAAACAGAAACTCTATTCCGCTCTGAACTTTATTTAGGCCATGGAAGGTCATTCTAACCGTGAAAGAGAACCTCACTTCCTCTTAATCAGATAATGGACAGAATAATCTCCATTGTTCGTGTTTCATTTGTCATTTAACTAAGAATGTTTATGCATTTGTTRAATCAAAGATAATGCCTGTCACATGAAAAAAAGTAGAACAACTTATTTTCTCTTATTGTGCCTTAAAGATTTATAATGGTATAAAATAATCACAGAGAATGTGATTACAATGTTTTCATTGTGTTTTTATGCAAATCACTGTTTTTATTTTACTGTAGACACAGTAATATAATTGTGGATTTTTCTTGAGAAACTCTTTCATTTATCTAAACTAATGAATGGTTTAGAGTTGATTATGAACAGAAAYGTTACATGTCTGAAATCATCATAAAATATTTTTCAGTGATTTCATTATGGAGAGTCCTCAGAGGATGAGCTAGTATTTCATCCCTACTGACCGCCAGAGGCAGTGCTTAAAGCACTGAATGATTACGCTTGCGCATGCACAGGTCAAGAATCTTATACCAACATGGTCACGTGTGACACCGGTAGTCTATATCAGTGGTTCCCAAACTTTTCAGCTTTTGACCCACAAAATAACAGTAGCAGAGACTTGTGCCCCCAGCTAATTTTGGATGATAAACATTTGTATCAGGTCAACAAAACATGGGCATA